GCTGATGCTGATCTGCATTGCTGTATAATGGTATTGCTGGGAATTGTAGTTCTCTATAGCTGTTGGTAGTCATTATTGCTGGGATTTATAGTCCTCAATAATAGTCTGCAATGCTGTACAATGTATCTCTGAGTCAGTGGCAGAACTACCAGGGTCGCAGCAGTCATGCACGCGCACAGCCCTGACGTGGCATCCCTCCACTACCAGTGTGCTTTACATTTCCTAAACCGATAAATACATTCACACTACTGTTACATGGATGGCAAAAGTGGCAGACAGGGGCGGGGGAAAAGGCAGAGTGGGAGGGGGGCCAAGTTGCTGCACCATGGGCCTCTGGGTTGTACTTGCCCCTTGGGCTAAAAGTTGCCAGTCAGCCCCTGCTGAGGACCGTGTTGTGACTGGGAATGGCCCCGTGTCGACCAACATTGAATTCTCGACAAAATAGTTGCTGCACTGCTGTGATAGACTCACCACTTGTAACATTTCCAGTGTGGGGGGAAAGACACCTAGCTCGTCCCCCTCCCATCACCACTTACCATGTACTACCTGTTCTAAAAGCGTCAGACTCCCGTCGGTCACCCTGTACCAAATCTGTAAGAAAAAAACTAAAAGCTGCTTAAGACATAGTTGGAGGGGCCAGATCTGATACAGCAGTCGGTGTGCGCCCTTTGCTGCTGACTGGGACAGTTCTAGGAACATGGCAAGGACTGAGGACATCTTGGAAAGGCACCAGTTAAATAATAGATACCAGTATCATCAGATTACCAGTAAACCGACTGCTCACCTTATCAGGGCAATACTGAGGTCTTGGAGTCTGTGGCCAAGGACATCAGAGCATTATCTTATCTCCTCGTATCACCCCCATTGCTAGCGGTTTGGTACAAGGTGAGAAAGCAGAATATAAAGCCAGGGGACACATCAGATCCACACTGATAGGACAGACAGGAGATAACTAGCATGAAGTGACCAGCTTATCAGCACTGATGTGACTAGATATGAAAGTCATCGTCTTCAAAAGGGGCAAAGTGTGCCAGAAATCAATGAAAGCAAACTGCTAAGAAAAGTTTGAAGGATGACGTTGCTGATCTACTTATGAATATGCCAGTTTCTAGGTTCTTTATCCTGTTAGGTCATGGAGTCCTTGGCCTATATCAAGCACACAGCACGTTAAAGTGAACCTCTGCTTTGCAAACACAAATGCACAGGAATAATGTTGCAGTGGTGCTGGGAAGGCCCAGGGTCCTTCCAGGGTCTTGGAAAGAGACAGTCTACTATGGTCAGGTCCAAACCGGTGCCCCTCAAGTTGAAATGGAAAAATCCAGTTTTGGACAACTTCACAATATGGGTACAGCATTCAGAGCATGCCAGTGGAGTACAAATTGCAGTTAAAGTGACATTAAAGCCAAAAAAATGTTTCCCTCCCCCCAATGTTAATGTCAGCAGTTACCTTAAATGATGTCTCTTAATCCGATCTTCTTTCCTGTCCTTTTCAGCCTTCTCTCCAGCGCTGCGGCGGGTCTCCGATCCAGCGCTGACACCTGTCCTTGCTGGCACTTCCGATCCCACGGTGTCTGCATGCGGGTGCACGCGTCCATGTACTTACCTTGAGTCTCTCCTCGTCTTCCAGGTGAAAATTCGAACTGCGCATGCGCCCGCCCCAAGATGCTTTGCGGCCGCCCGAGCAGTTTCGGATTCTCGGACGGGAGCGCGCGGCAAAGACGGGGTAAGTTTAAACCGCTGTTAAAGCGTTTTTGTTTTTTTTTTTAAACTTTTTGCATATATCTACTGCTTGCTAGCAGTAGATATAGGCAAAAAAAAGGAGGGTTTAGAAACCCTTTAATAAAATAAACCAATGTAGCTGATAGCAAGAAAATCTTATGCCAGCCATAGATGGCTGGAATTCCTGCTGAAGCTGTGGGAGGCCCTGCAAAGCACCACCCAACCCAACAAAAGACTGGTGGAAAATTATTATCTGGTGATTTCAGTAATGTGTGCAACCCTTCTCTGGACAGCTATTCTGTCCAGACCCAGCCTCAGGTGAATGCCTCCTCCTTTACTCCATTCACTAAGCTTATGCAGGTATTGGGTCTTGTGGATGTGTGGAGGTATTTGCATCCAGCGGATATTATTCCTGATTTTCTTCTGTCTCATTTGTCCCATTCCAGACTTGAACTGGCATTTGCCTATACCAATCTCCTCTCTTTAGTGACCACAGAAACATTTCTGCCTCTGACCATAGTCCCCCTTTTCTTGTCTGTGGAATGGGGCCACTTGCCTCCCTATTCCTATTGGAAGTTCAATTCCTTTTGGTTTTCTCTATTTCTGGAGGACTTGGATCTGTCCCCTCGATGGTCAGGTTTTTTTTATCTCTGCCAACTCTGCAGATGTTTTGGTGGTATAGGAGAGCTTTAGGCCCTGTTCACACTGAGCGATTTTTGCAGCGATATCGCTCATATTTCCGTGCGATATTGCTCTATGTAGCTTCTCCAATACATTTCAATGGAGCTGTTCACATCTCGTCGCTCAATATCGCTTGTAGCTTGTCGCTCCTACATGACCCTTTTTTAGAGCGACTTTGAGCGATATTGCTTCTGATTGCATACAGCCCAATAGGAAAAAGTTGCGCGACACGTCGCTCAATATTGCTCGTCGCGCGATTTTCATGTTGCTCAGTGTGAATGGGGCCTTAAGGTGCTCCTAAGGTATTTTACTCTCTACGGTTTCTCAACTCGCGCACTTGGATTTGCATTCCCATGCATGTCGAGCTGAGTCGGCTTTTATCTCTCATCCCTCTGTTTCTAACAGGGAGTCCCTTAGACAACATGAATTATTGTATTAGGAACATACTCGTAGCAAACTTTTTTTTTCTAAACAATCGATTTTTGAGCAAGGGAACAGATCAAGCTCTATGCTGGCTTGAACCGTAGGCATGCTAGACACCAGTTTTGAGTGTTAATTATCCCGTTCCCTGGGGGGGTCCGGCTCTTTCTTGTCTTATATGCCCTTCCATGTGCACCTTGCTTTAAAGCTGGTTATGAGTTGATGAGTGCGTTTGCCATTTGTTTTGCTTGCCTTGATTTGGTGCAGTGACACACTGGGGGTCTCAGCTGCCGTTGTGATGGGCGGGGTCCCCTGTGCCTTTAAGGAGGTTGGGCTGCCTCCTGGCAAACCTGCCCCAATTTATCTTTTGCTACATGTGCTCCAAGATGGAGACTCTCATAGGTCAGAGTTAGGACCGCACTACACAGAGGGGCCTTGACGAGGAAGTGCGGCTTTCACATTTTTTGCATGCTGGCTGGTGAGTGTGCTGGGAAACTTTTCGCTAGTGTAGGGCCTTGCACACGTTCCTGCATTCCAACAAGTGATTGGAGGCTTTTGCCCCCTGTTTACATCTGTGCACTTTCCTGCAAGTACAGATCTAAAACTGCATGTAAAATGCATATCTTGGTATATGTCATTACATTCAATGGGACCGAATAAAGAAAACACACAAATGGCTGTAACAGGATTCTCATCATGCAATCTGAAAGCAGTTGTGCATGTAACTGCACTAAAATACACAACTGTGAATGAGACCTTAAAAGTTAAAATGTAAAAACTGCACGCTTGTAATGCAAATACTTTGGATCTCTGTGGTTTCCTGTCGCATAACATTCAAAAGAAAACCTTACCTTTATTTTTAGCAAGCCAAAGGAATAGTAATAATGAATAGTAATAATAAAAATCCAGATTTCTATAAGTAATGTTTACCATGGAGCAGTGTCGTGCGATACCTCTTGCGCGGGGTGAGGCATTCCCCAGCCCCACCCCCCGCAGCCCCACCCCCAAGCTAGTGTAAAAGGAGGAAGGGAGGAGACAGTGAGGAGCCTCCCTGTCCCTCACTTGCTCCTCACCGCTGAGGCTCTGTGACAGGTTACACAGCGGGGAGGATTTCCCTGCTCTGTAACCTGTTAGATGCCGATCTGAATGGAGAAAAAGCTGTCAGCTTCAGACGTGAAGCCGTCAGCTTTTTCCTCCATAATCCTAGGTGAGGCTCTGACTCACCTGCCTCCCCTGACCGCACGTCCCTGCCATGGAGTATCTAGAAGCATGAAATAATCAAATAATGAGGGGAAAAGATATAAAAAGAAGTATTAATTAGGGTTTTACTAAATAAAGCATTGGCAACCTTTAGACGATGATCCATGGCAGCCAACCTAAAGAACAAGCAAACCAACAAGGATATAAGTTTGTATACAGAAAGAGCTCTGCCTCCAGATGATGTGGTCAGGAAATAGAACATACAGGACCATTCAGATCTTGTATGGCTCCAAAGGACAGCATGGCAAAGAAACAAAGTTGCAATGGTAGATTTGCAAACATGCATTCTTGCTTTAAAGGAACTAAACTATTTTATGATGTACTTATCCTTTAAAGCTATATTTTAGCTCTGTGTTACCTAAGGCTGAATTCACGTTGACTTGGGATGCACATGAGGCACACAGCATCTTTGTTGTTGGACCAACATTTTGCCCGTTGTCAGTTTTCTCCAAGTGGGGGACTGCTAATGTATCAATAAAAGTGAGTAGCCAGATGCAGCTACCCAAACCCAGGCCACCGCTCTACCTGCAAAATACACAAGTGTATTGAATAGTTTACCTCGGCGCACTACATCCAACCCCTGACTTGGGGTCCGAGCCCACTGCTAAAGGTCCTCTTTCCTTGCGTATGTGGATCCAGCCTAAAGGCTTTGTATTTTTATTGGGAATACAGAGAAGTGAGTAGTTTCTGCACAGATGAAGTGCAATGTACATGGTCATTATGATACAACCAGGCCTGTGTAGAGATCTCACAAAAATACATATTTATTTACATAAGACCACGTATACAAGTCATTATACAAAGTGTTTCATGGTATCTTCTTTCCCAATACTGCAGAATGCAGACCTGTCAATCCACAAGATTTCCACACATGATGACTCCACTTTAAAAATGGGACAATGTACATTGTTTTCCGCCCTCTTAGGTCTGCTCTGAGCCTTTCTTGGCAATCCTCTTCCTTCCTTTTGTATATTTGAAAGTGCGAAGTGGATTCTGAGGCCTCTTGAACTAGAAAATGAGAAGATGGAAGTTCAGCTTAAAAAAAGTAGTTTTAAATCACAATTCATCTGCATTTTAATGCAAAGGCAAAATAAAATCAGTAACTAGCTATTATTTTGTATGTGGATGTCATTGCAGCTGCTGCTCCTGAAAACAGAGAGCGCCATCTAGGAGGCAAGTGAAACCATTAAACAGACAGGCTGCATGGACCATTTTTATCTAATATTAAATATATTTATAAAAAATATTAGCATAGCCTAAAAGTGTTAAAATGCATATACAGCTTCCTAAATCACATACAAAATGTTGCTCTAAAGTCCCAGATGAACTTGCTAAATCTAAAGTAGCTTATTACTGCTTAAAGCTAAACTCTGGGGATGTTAAAAACAAAAAAAAATAGGTAAAGTTATTGTGATGGCTGTATCTTTCAATGAACATAAAATAACATTTTTGTACTCATCATAAAATCCTTTTCTCTGGGTTTATTAAAGGACACAGCCATCAGAATACCTTGACCATTGGGTTATATCATCACCTGCAAAAGTAGGATGCTAGGCATACAGAAAACCTCAAGCCAGCTCGGGGGTTGCCGCTGACAGTGGGCAACCTATATTATAATAGAGTGAGTGACTTTCTACTATATATGTATTATAATAGCATCCCGGTCAGGACACTGTCAGCAAGGAGTCTGCATGCTCTCCCTGTGCTTGTGTGGGTTTACTCCGGTTTCCGCTCACACTCCAAAGACACGCTCAAAAGGTTAATTGGCTCATGTCTAAATCGGCCCTGTACGTATGCATGTGAGATGGGGACCTCAGATTGTAAACTCCTTAAGGGCAGGGAGTGATGTGAATGTGCACTGTGTAAAGCACTGCGTAAATTGTCAGCGATATATAAATACCAATAATAAATAAATAATAGTATGAGCTTGTATGAAACATGTCCTCCAGAAACTCATGGTGAGGGGATAACAACAGAATTATGGGGAAAACTTTAAACACAAGGCACATAAGACAGTCAGGACACCAAAAATAATGAGCATATCCCAGACTATAGGCCAGGAGAACAGTTAACTCTCACCTTGTTAGAAGGTACTTTGGAAAATCCTCCCGCCTTCGTTCGTAGCCTTCTTTTCCTCTTGTTCAGAAGATTGACGACAGAGCGCATGGAAGGTGGGACTGCGAAAGACAATAACATGGCAATGACTAAGAAGCATGTGATTGGAGAATACAGAGGAAAAGATAAAGCACGGACAGTTGAATGGAACAATTTTCACATCCGGGTAATTTCCGGCAATGTTTCATGCTGCTTTTAGCATAGAAAAAAAACAGGAAGCGGTCAACCCAGTCAAGAGGTCAAGCACAGTAGTATCTACACAGGACACTCGGCATTAAGGTGACACTAAACTCAGGAGTTTCAGAAGTCTTCAGGCTGGTCATGTACCATGAAGCACCCTCTTTACCTCTTCTCTGGCACTGCACGGTCCGCGATGATACAGACAGCGTCCACCATGATGATGTTAGTGCTGTTCTTTGCATCACTGTGCTGCTAGTGCAGGTGCCGAGGTATTGTCCCTCCCTCCAAGCAGTGGGTCCATGATGCCCTGTACTCATAGGAGGTGGGTTGAATGATGCTCGGTGCTAATTTAAAGTGACTCTATTGAGGATCTACAGCCGAGTGATACACAAATAAGATACATTTTTTAAAATTATTAAGGTACTTGAATTAATTTTTAAGATTTAATTCCTGAGTTTAGTGCCAATTTAATACATGAAAAGAATTGGTCTCCCAGAAGCTGCACACATAAAAAACTGATACAGGAGGAGAATTTACACTCACCCAAATATTCTGGAACGTTTTTCATGTGAGGTTTCACTACTGCCGGGTGCAGGGCTTTGTCGTGTCGGAGAAGGTGGAAATCACGTGGATTATCCTCAAAATAGGTCTACGGAAAGAAGGAGACATTAGGAAAAACTGTTCATTTGTACAGTTACACACAACAAAAACATAAGAAAATAGCCAACTCTGAGTTGGAAAACCACAGATGACATCATGCGGGTTTAGCTGATTTCAGAGAATTATACAAGAACTCCCAGAAAACCAGCATTTCCGTTCTGGATGGATGCCGCTTGCTGCCATATTTAATTCCCACAGTTCCTAAGCTTACCTCCCTTCCTACAGTCATAGTTGTGAATGCAGCTGAAGAAGCAAGACACGACAGCATGGGGGGAAGGAATAACATTTCTGCAGGGGGCTTGCAACTGTAGATCTTGAGATGTAATTAGTTGCTGGGTGACCCAAATCACAACACAATAGGGAGATACAAGTTCATACAATGAACTTAGAAAGGTTGTCATGACTGTTGGACACACATTGCTCACAGGTCTGATAAGAGGGCTGTCAGCTATGCCAGCTGTGCTGAATGTTGCTGAGGGAAGCTTAGACATCGGGTTATTTAAGGCTGCAATCTCTCACTGTGCAAGGTCAGAGAGTGCCTTGGAAAGAACATTGGGAATCATTGGCTGTCCTCAGACGATCCCTGTGCACGGAAAACGTCACCAAGGTTGTATGAAAATGCCATGTCTTCATTACAAGGGTTGACACGCTGTGCTGTGCGGCAAAACTCCAGTGGTTATACAACATTATTACAGTCCTCTATGTGCGCCAATCATCACAGCAGCTCAATAGGACTCCTGCCAGGCTATAAAAACTGGAAGATGACTCTGCTATTTACTACTAATTCTGCTAATACTGCTATTCAGCTTCCTACATCACCTGCTTGCTTGCCAGCTATCAAAAAGCAGCATATCACTGCCGATCTTTTTTGATCTCCATGCTGTGGGAATGGTCCCCCGAAGCCTCGTCTCTAAGGCACTATGGCTGGCAGTCGCACTCTAATGACATCAAGTACAATGCAGGACCAAAAGCCCTAGATTGTACATGGGGATGGTGAAGGCTCGCCCCCAAACCGGAACATTGGCGAAAAGAGGAGAGTTCCAAAGAGAGCGAGGCATAAGACAAGTGTTACAGCCCATTCTTCTACCTCTAGACTGAACATAGTCTATAGAGGCCAAAGACTCGCTCTGCCCAAGTGGGTTTTCTGGTTCTGATTTACTTTCCTCCCAACGTGACATCCAGCAGATGTGAGAGGAGTGCCAGTAGAAAATTAAACTGCACTGATTCAGAGACTGCTGTGTTTAAGAATCCCACCAAAATGTACTAAATCAACACCAACAAACTGGGGAAAGGTTTGTTCACCCATTGCACTTAGGCTCCCAACAGGGAAATTCCGATATCCACTGCCATAGCCATGAGAGAAAGTACAGCCCTGTCCAATTCTACATGGACAGTTAGAAAGGAATCAACATGGGGCAGGTAAGTAATGTTGCTAGCCTCCTGCTAGATGTTCCATGAGAATAAATGGAAATGTAAGTAGGTGACACCAAAGCTTAGAATAGGAGACAATAAATATGACAGAAGCTGGTTCTCATTATACACAGAAAGCCACAGGACTGTCCCAACCTTTAGTTTCTCAGAGTTGAGCAGTTCCTCCTTTATCTCCTTTAGCCGAGCCTCCTTTATAGCTTGTTTGGTCACTGACCTCATGGCATCCTATAGGAGAAGAGATGACAAGAGCCTTTAAATTACAATTTTCATCGTTATACCAAAAAAGCAAAAACATCTTTAAAAAAAAAAAAAATACAAAGTACCACATTATCACTCTGCACCTCCTAGCACAAGCCAGTTGTCTGCCCAGCTGAGGGGGCACCTAAAATCAGCTGATCCCAGAGCTGCAAAAGAAGTTGGTGCTGGAAGAATTCTCTCTGCCAGACACTGAATGCTGAAGAGTAGTTACATAATGCCCACCATGTGTCCAGGAACGTGGGTCCTGCTCTAATCAGTGTCTGAATAGTGACAAAGGCCACCAGCCCAGGATATCTTATTACTAATAGTCTTCAAGCAAATACCGCCTAGTCCAGTTCTCAACTGGAAAGCAGTCTACAAATTAGAAATTTCCTGAAAGAGTTGAAGATTTTCAGGAAAGCTGTGCTGAGATATATACGGATGCTGCAAACTGGTGCCCTTTGCCTTGTGAAAATGCCCATTCACACCACATCTAGATCTCCAGACCAGACTGTTTTCAGACCCAAAATGCATCCTAATGTATCCCTATGCTATTTCTGGCCTCTGTTCACAACAGCGCAGTCCGTTCCAGACCAGACAAATACTGCATGTCTCATTTGGTCTGGTCTGGATTGCACTGAACTGGAACTGCGGCAGGTTCACACTATTTTCCGGACCAGATCTGGCCCGGAAAATGGTGTGAACCTGCCCTAAGAGTTTTGATTTTACTAGCTGCATGCATGTTCCAGGTCAGTGACCATACTGAGGGCCAATATACAGTCAATATGCAAGAAAGAGATTTTATGTTTTAAAAAAAAGGACAATGCGGGACTGAAAAATTAAATAATAATGTTGTAGGCAACCTCAGCACTCGGCAAGACTGACAGCCATAGGCATAGGTACCAGAAGATGCATGAATGGATTTGTGGTTTCACCACAGCTGGAGTGCCGAGTTGCATAACCCCGTTATAGGACATTAGTGGAATAAATAGATCCTTTATTTTTAAAACTGAACTCTAAACTAAAAACGAATTACAATGTTGAAATGTAAACATTCCATGCAACAAAGAGCCTAGAAAACGAGGCAGAACCTCTTAGATTTTCAGTCATACTGACCCGACAACGATACCGGAAGCCCTCCACTTCCTCCATACGAAACCTGTAGGGGCGCAGCACACAATCGCCACCTCCAGCTGCACAATAAAAGATTTGGTTATTGCAACAAGAAACTGAAGATATAAAAAGAAAGTCTGTCTTATATAATCTCTAAAACGGAAGTTATTTTTGGCCTTTGTGACTGTCTTCATCTTACTTCGAGCTTCATCTGCCTCCCTTCGTGTCAGAGATAAAGATCAAATCTTATTTAAATAAATATATAGAACTTTTATTATTGACAGAAGTCCTGAAGTGAGATTCTGACCCAGGGGAACAGAAAAGTGGAGCTCAATGTTAGTAACATAAAGACCTAAATCTTGTGTGCATTCAAAGTTTTAGGTCTTTATGTTACCAACACCAAATTATTATTATTTTCTAGCTGGGGGATCAAAGGGCTCATGAAATTGGTGTTGAGATCTTGCAAAAGAAGGATTTGTCAGGTGTTGCTAGACTCTAGGGTGAATATAGCATCTTAATTACAATGACATGCAGATTTGGCAGACGCAGAATTTTGGGGGCATTTTCATTATCTGAATAATCGGAGAAGACAGACACTGGTCAATGCACAAGCCCAACATTTCTTAGAATCATTTACAGCATGACTAGCAGCAAATGGAAAGAGTGCTGGACCTGTGTGATTATTCTGTTTTTATCATCCAATAGCGGTTAAAGTGACACTAAAGGAGGCAAATCTTAAAAATACATTCAGGTACCTTAATTATTAACAAAAATTTATTTTGTGTATCACTCGGCTGTCGATCCTCAAATCATCTCTGAATTGGTGCTGACACTGTCCTTCCTTCTGGAGGGGGGCTACTTTTGTTCCCCATGGTCCCTGTGTGTGTTGTAAAGTAGTCACCGCTTCAAGCTCACTCCTGTTTTGGACTACAATCTCATGTTTAGTTTACTAATCTGTATTGAGATTGGTATTCTGACTCCGATTGTTGTGATAGCGATATATCCCTTGCGAGACCTCTATGCCTGGCCTGTATAAGCAGATATACTCACTGCGGACAATCCTTGTCAGATAGCTGAACTCGTCAATACCGTTTCATCCAAAAGAGGTTTTTTTATTTTTAACATCAGGGTTACAGCAGATGATAGGAACAGCAGATTGAATGATTTCAGTATTGTGCGGTCAAAAAATGATGCCTTTTCTAGCGTACTATGTAGAGTACATGTGTCCTAGTTACATGTGGCCTGTTAGCTGTGGCTATGACACAGGAAGTACTGCCCTCAGGAAGAAGGGTGGGGCTTACACAAAGAGGAACTGTGTCATCGACCCCAGGGATATCAAGGAAGGTAACATTGAAAAATACATACATTACCACAAAAGGCCACTAGATGGCAACATATAACTAACTATATAAACGTCCATAGGAAAATGGTATGGAGAAAACAATCTATATAAATTCTCATCTATATAAACTTTTATGCCCCATTGGGGCGGCACAATTGTAGTCCATCATGGTAGTGAGCTTGAAGTGGTGACTACTTTACAACACACACAGGGACCATGGGGAACAAACGTAGCCCCCCTCCAGAAGGAAGGACAGTGTCACCACCAATTCAGAGATGATTTGGGGATCTACAGCCGAGTGATACACAAATAAGATACATTGGTGTTAATAGTTAAGGTACTTGAATGTATTTTTAACATTTAACTCCTGAGTTTTGTGTCACTTTAAGTGATGTGAATATGTGTAATCTGGTTAATTCATAGGCAGCTATCACTGGCCTAAGGATCTTCACAGTATCCTTGGCTTAACTGTGAACACAGTAGATGTAGGAATTGACGCCCCACACCAATTAAAATAGTCCAGATACAACTCCACTCCAGAAATGTCAGCGCGGCAATCGGGGAAAATAGCCAATGCATTTCGGGGGCCCGAAAACACCCCACCCCCCTTCACCAGGGCTTAGTGAGAGAAATCAGGTATGTGGACTACAATCTCTGCAGCTTAAAATTTTTATTCAGCTGTGATGGGTAAGCTTCTGGCTTGCTGGTTTGGCAGCAACGCCAAGCCAGCAGCTTTCCCATCACAGCTCAATACAAATTTCAAGCTTCAATGACTGTAGTTCACATACCAGATTTCTCTCACTAAACCCCAAAGATCACATACAACAGCTGCAATGGTAAATGTATGCCAGTATGTCCGGGTATCAGACCTACCTCCTCCGAGAGCTTCCTCAACATCTGCCAGCAGGGAGAGCTCTGTGTGTGCCACTAATGTTAGGACCACACCTGGGTTATTAGCACGAGCGGTCCTAAAATTGGAAAAAGCAATTTGTAAAAATTCAATGTATAGGGGAAAAAAAAAAAATCAAAGCTTTACTTGACATCATACATACCTTCCGGCCCGGTGAATATAGGAATCAACAGACTGGGGAAAGTCAAAGTTTAGTACGGTAGACACGTTGTGAAAGTCTATGCCACGAGACACTCCGTACTCACTGTCCTGACCTCTGAAAAGGAAAGTTTATCAGCTTAATGAGACACCAGAGGGAAATGCAGCAACACTAGAAGTAGAATCAAAAGAAATGAATATGGAGGAAAGAAGGAGTCTGCGCTGCCATGCACAACTAAAGTAATATTGAAGCCTAAACTGTTTTTAGTCATCTCTACTGAAGAACACGAATGCTTACCATGTATGCCCATTCTTGTTGTGTAAAGTTTTCATTTCCTCGGGATTTCCCTGGTCACCTCAGCACTAGTCCTGCTTTTCTTTTTGATGGTAGCTCCTTTCCTTTGCAGCATCCTATGGAGCCACCCTTGCGTGTGCCCCGACTAGGACGGGAGCCAAATGCATGCTGTGTGCTACCACACTGTGTGCATTCCTACATACAGGCATACCGCCTCCTCCATGCTAAAAGATGGACAGCACCTGGAGCCTGCGCTGTCACTTGTGAGCCGATACACCGTACACGTGCTTCCCCATAGAAACTTCATGGAACATGCATCGTGTGATCTGGAACTGGCTGCATCAAGGAGCAATACTAATAAAAAACTGTTTGTACACATGTTTCCCTGGTTCATTAGGAGGCCTTCATGTAAAAATGTTGAGGGGAATTTATCAAAACTGGAGCAACCAATCAGCTTCCATCTTTCATTTTCAAATATCAACTTAGAAATCTGAAGAGCGATGCTGATTGGTTGCCATGGGCAGCTGCTTCAGATTCTGTCTTCTCCAATTTCGATAAACCCCCCCCCCCCCATGTTTTGTGTTTAACCACTTGAAGCCCGGGGTGTTAACCCCCTGCCTGGCCAGGCCATTTTTCCGTATTCAGCACTGCAGTACTTTGACATTTGTTCTGTCATGCAACGCTGTACTTAAATTCTACATAATTTTTGGGGGGACAGATAGAGCTTTCTTTTGGTGGTATTTAAATCACCACTGGGTTTTTTTTATTTTTTACTATATAATGAACAAAAACAAAAAACAAAACGAAAATTGTGAAACCCCGCCCCACAAAACTGTTTTCCTACGTTATGAAACATTGCGCAAAACACAGAGTCGCATGAAGTCAATGGAGGCCGATCACACCTTTGCGGTTTGTCCCGCGATCGAAATCACCTGTCGCGCGAAAAGGTGCCAGAAGCTATTTGGGTCTCATACACACGCGGTTTGGGTCTCATACACATCTCTATGCATTAAAAACAGTTGCACGATCGAAAACGCGTGACTACCGTGCGAAAACAGCTTGGCATCTGAATCACCTAGGTGTGAACCTAGCCTTAAATTGTGCACCCGTGAAATCACAAAAATCTACCATTCCCAAAATTGCCCATAAACGACGCTTTAAAAGCTTTTACCGCTCACCAATTTAGGCCCCATTCACACTGAGCGACATGAAAATCGCGCTATAAACCTCGCGATTTTATATGTGCGATATTGCGCAACTTTTTCCTATTGGGCTGTATGCAATCAGGAGCAAAATCGCTCGAAATCCACAGAAAAAAGGGTCATGTAGGAGCGACAAGCTACAGCAACGAGCTACAATCGATATTGAGCGACGAGATGTGAACAGCTCCATTGAAATGGATTGGAGAAGCTACATAGAGCGATATCGCGTGGAAATATGAGCGATATCGCTGCGATAAATCGCTCAGTGTGAATGGGGCCTTCGTGTTAACAGTGATTGATGACTCTAGAATGAATGCTCCCACTCTGACGTTTGCAGTGATATGTAACATGTGTGGCACAAACTTTGTTTTTACACAAAAGGTGCACCTGATGTGTGTTGGCATTTGTAAGTGCATGTACGTGGGGACTTTGAAAAAAAAGTGTTTGTTTGTTTTTTACACTTAACTTTATTGCTATCCCGGGGGGGCGGGAAGCACCATACAAGCAATCGGGTGGCTCTATAGCCGCCTAAACACTTTTATGTAAACAGCCATCGCCAGCTATAAGAAATGTTCAAAGTTTCACGAGCATTTTAAATACGCCCCCCTGCCCTCAAGCGCGGGCCATCCGGCCATTTAATTACAATGGTCAGACAGCAAGCAGTTCATACTACTTTAACATTTTAATTTCTGTAACTGGAATGAGATTGTAGTTGTAACCAAATTCCAGCACTTGGCAGAGACCGTTATGGGCTGGCTTTATCAGGAGCCAGGAAGCCAATGCTCCTTAAAAATTACAGCTGGCCCCCAACTTTTGAGGTTTTCTCAAGATGTTGTTAATGGAGTTGGCTCCTCAAAAAAAAAAAAAAGTCCTGCTGGCTCCTGGATTAGACAGACTGGCTCCTGAATTCCATATTCATTTGTCCACCCCGGGGCTATTACATATATTACATATAGGAAAATAAATGGTCACCAACACCAGGATATCAGGTATAGTGGATGTGATATGCAATGCATGTCTAGTCAGAATAGAAGCAGTGGAGAGGAGAGGACAGTGATGAATGAAAGCCATCAGTGAAATGTTGATAAAACTCACTTTTCTCCTTTTCCTTTCTTCTTCCTGCCGGTTGCCTTCTTTTCCTTCCCGCGGGGTTCAGCTAACGAGCGTTCATCTGTGGCAATGACGTAGTCGTAGAAGCCCTGATTAAACTGAGCTATGATGTGACACCTGCAGGACCAAAACATCACATGACATGAGTCTGGGGAAACACCAAGGAACATTCCCAACATGTTGATTTACTAAAGGAAGAGAACATGTCAGCATATTCACCTTACCCACTAAGTGAATGTTGATTTAGCTAAGTGAATGAGGTAAAGCTATACCAGCGTTAATCATCCAATCATGGGCAAGCAGAAATCCTTCCTTGCACATGATTGGGGATTTCTTGCAAAGTGAATTTTTTGTTACCTTCACCTCATTCACCAAGTTAAAATGAACTTTGAGAAGTGAACACGTGCTACTGGCTGGTAGAAATGAGTCACATTCAAATGAACTTGTTCTATAACTTTGAAGATGTTTTGAAGCTTATCCAAGCCACTTCCTTCTTCACTTCCAATGAACCAGTTTCTGGGTGTACACCCCAAAATGTTTGCCACTATGTGAAGGATCCCATTGATCCCGGTCATGGTATATCTAGTAGTAGCTAGTCATATTCAGCTAGACGTTCTGTAATGTTGAAGACATTTCGTAGCTTCGTAGCCACTGCTTTAGTAAATCTTGCATTTAAAAGTTTAATCCCCTCCTGCCTGTAAGAGCCGGCCCTTTAGGGGGTCTTAAAGCGGATCTTTACCCCCTATCACTAAAAATCATATCAGGCAGCTCTGTGTGCTGAAATGAAAGCATGTTACATTCACTGGTTAAACATATTTTGGTTTTACTAACAATTACGGTTTGTCCACTTGGACATTAATGCAGCCTGTGCCCAAGCATTGCATCCTGGAAAGGTTACATCAGCAGAGCATTGCTGGCAAGTCTCATCTGTAATCTCACGGAAAAGCATTTTCCTCCCCTGAGATGATGTGCATGGTCACATGTCCTAGTCACATGCGCCAGACTTTATAATTACATGCAGATTTGGCATATTCAATATCTGAATTGGAGAAAACCGACACTGTGGTCAACACAGAAGCCTAACATTTCTGAGATTCATTTAGAGGATGACTCACAGCAAAACATCATTTATGGTACGAGTATTTGGAAATGGAAAGAGTGCTGGACTTGTGTAATTATTCTGTTCTTATTATCCAATAGCGGTTAAAGTGACACTAAACTCAGGAATTAAACCTTAAAAATGCATTCAAGGACCTTAACTATTAACAAAACTGTATCTTATTTGTGTATCACTCGGCTGTAGATCCTCAAATCATCTCTGAATTGGTGCTGACACTGTCCTTCCTTCTGGAGGGGGGCTACTTGTGTTCCCTATTGTGCCAGTGTGTGTTGTAAAGTAGTCACAGCTCCAAGCTCGCTCCTGTGATGGACTACAACCTCAATACAAATTAGTATACCAAAAACATGAGCCTGTAGTCCATCACATGAGCGAGGGCGAAATTAATACAACTCTGGACAGAAATCTATTTTGTGACATTGTATAAGCTTATTGAAATGATGCCATGGCAAATGTGTGCTGTAATCAAAGCTAAAGGCGGTCCAAAACAATATTAGAGTGTGTGACTTTTTTGGCTGGGCAGTGTAAATGCCACTATCATTTTTGGGATCTGAAAGGAAACCAACCAGTGTACATCCAGGGAGAACACTATAAGGCTTCCTTCTATAAAGCCCTGGATGCAGAGAGCATGTCTGGTGGCAACTCAACCCCGGCGCTCAGACTTACCGCGACTGGACCGGCAGCTCAGAATTTAGCACACACGCTGGAATACTGAACTGTTCCAGGAAAAGCTTCAGCCGGTAACTCCGATCCACGTCGTTCACAAATATGATGGTCTTGCCGCGGATGAGGGACAGTTTAAGCAGCGCAAAGAGTAAGAGGAACTTTTCTTCCTCCTCACACTGGATATGATATTGTGTCAGCTGAGAGCTGTCAGGAAGCTGAGATTCTTCCAACTTCAGGGTCACCTGAGGAGCAGGAAAGAAGCAGAAACTCAATATACTAAATATAATGAGATCAATGCAATGCAGACAGTCAATAGATAAAAATAAATTAAAAAATATAAATACAAATTATTTTTGAGCACAGGGAGTGTGTTAGGACTACAGAAAATATCCCTCTTTCCAGCTCCATAACAGAGGGGAGGTGTTCTGTACTCCACAGAGATTTCTGGGACAAAATGCTAACTGATAACAGTCAGCAGAGCCAGGGTGCACAGGAAGTTGTCGGCTTGCCAGAATTCTGGCAGGATCAACAGTTATATTTTGCACTTATTGAACATATTTTACAAAATGCTTAAAAATAAAATTGAATATTTCACAAACCAAAAGGGAGCAAATAACAGACATTTTATTGTTAGGGTTTATTTTTAGTACAAGCCGCTGCAAGCCTAATTTTCATCTATTCTGAACGAAAACATAAAGGAAGGGGTTCAGGGCACCAAACTTCAAAGGGTAAAATAAATCCAACAATCTCATGCACTGAACTAACTAAATGAAGGCCTAAAGCAGCGGTAGGCAAACTCTGGGCCCTCCAGCTGTGGTGAAAGTACAAACCACCATGCATCTGCCTCTGGTAGTCACGCCTGTGGCTGTCAGAGCCTTGCAATGCCTTATGGGATTTGTAGTTACACCACAGCGGGCGGGCCAAGGTTGCCTACCCCTGGACTAAAGCCTTGTATTCTGTAAAGTGTATTCTATGAAAAACTATAGCAGGGGTGGACAACTCCAGCCCTCCAGCTGTGCTTATAACTAAAAATCCCACCATGCCTCTGCCTCTGGGAGTCATGCCTGTAATGGTCAGTCTTGCAATGCCTCATGGGACTTGTAGTTCCACAACCTGCTGGAGGGCTGGAGTTGCCCACCCATGATAGATTCTAACTCCAGGAATGGAGCAATCTCATTTAAGAAATCCGACCTTCATGGATTTTCAGAATTAGTCTTCCAGGAAATTGAATCCAACCCATAGTAACCTATCCAGCCGACACTCTTCTAGGAAATCTTGTTTTAATATTTATTAATGAGGAAGAAAAATGAAACTCACAGGATTGTGCAACACGAGCTCCTTCAGTGCCTGGACATCTTCATTAAACGTGGCAGACATCAGGAAAGACTGGAAGATCTTTGGAAGTTGGCTGATAAAACAAGAAAAGAGAAGATTAAAAATAGGATTTTTGTACTCACCGTAAAATCCTTTTCTCTCCGTTCATTGAAGGACACAGGGCAACAGATCGTAGATCCTGAAATGGTAGGGTATATCGCCACCTGCAGGAGTAGGACGCTAGGCACATAACTAAAAAGACAAGACAGCCTAGGGGCGGCCCCTGCTGGTGGCCCAACCCCTCACTTGCTGACAAGTCTCCAGTAAGTAACAAGCAGTTAGGAGTGTACACCCCATAAAAGAGGGCGGGGCCTGTGTCCTTCAATGAACGGAGAGAAAAGGATTTTACGGTGAGTACAAAAATCCTATTTTCTCTCCCGTTCATTGAAGGACACAGGGCAACAGATCGTAGATCCTGAATGGTAGGGACGTCACCAAGCAGTAACACACTGAGGGATGGGCAACAACAAACACAACACCCAAAAGACCCCTCAAAGCGCCGCCTGCAACACTTTGCGCCCCAGACCAGCATCCGCCGATGCGAACACGTCCACCTTGTAAAATTTAACAAAGGTGTGAACAGAAGACCAAGTAGCGGCCTTACAAACCTGAGAAACAGAGGCCCCATGGCGGAAAGCCCAGGAAGCCCCAACAGCCCTAGTAGAATGGGCAGTAACAGGAAATGGAGGCTCACGCCCCTTAACGGCGTACGCCTGAGTCACAACATTACGAATCCACCTAGAGATGGTAGCCGCCGACGCGGCCCGACCCTTACGAGGACCCTCCGTGAGCACGAACAGGGAGTCGGTCTCGCGGAAAGAAACCGTAGCTTCCAAATAAACACGAAGAGGGCGAACCACATCCAAACAGTGGAGCGCACGCTCCTTCCTATGAACCGGCTTCGGACACAGGGAAGGTAAGACAATGTCCTCATTCAGATGGAATGCCGACACAACCTTCGGCAGGAACGCCGGCCGAGGACGGAGAACCGCCTTGTCCCGATGCAAAACCAGCAACAGGGACTTGCAGGACAAGGCAGCCAACTCCGACACCCGCCGAACGGAAGTGATGGCCACCAAAAAGGCCACTTTCTGTGATAAAGATATAAGCGGAATCTCCCGAAGAGGTTCAAACAAGGATTCCTGCAACACGGAAAGCACGAGATTCAAATCCCACGGAGC